TGTGCAGGATGCAGGGGTGCTTCGCCTTACACGTGCGTGCCTATTTGCTACCCTCCTAGTCGTACAAAGTAGCAGAAGCGTGCAGTTTATGAAGCCTTAAGTCACGCTCCGTGGCAGATGGTTCATGACGGATACTCCCTGAAGCTGCGACCAGGCCAGAAGCAGCGTCAATGCTTGAGCGTGCAGCTCCTCTCAGGAGCTTTGCATACCTTTGCGAAATGAACCCCCCTTCAGTTCATATACCTGACGCGATGATTTTTGACGGCCGTCACAGCAATCAGAGACGGCAAGTATCCCGTATGTAGCATGTGGCAAAGCCAGACACTGGGCCGGCATTTTCATATTGGCCAGTTGTCCGAGAATGACTCAGTAGTCCTCTTAGCGAAGGAGCATGGCAGTTGGAACCTCGCTGGCGTTGAAGTGCATCCTTCCAAGTTGTGTTGGTCCAGATGTCACATCGGGTCCTGCAGATATTGTCGCGGTGTCGTCTCGTACCATGCAAAGCACTGTGCTCATGGGGATCTTTATGTACACCACGACAGACAGAAGCATGGCCTGTTCGCAGAGCAACCACGTCCGTCGTCGATGTCCAAGCCCTCAAGAAACTCGAAATGCAATACCTCTCTGTGCAGGTTTCAGCATACCTTCGGCTTTGGGCTTCCAAGTATACCTCCGTGCCATTACTACGCCAGATGTTTCTTCCAAGCTCTGGAATCTGCATCTGGGCCATTTCTGAGCTCCGACAAAGAAATGCCTATGTCATTCCCTTCTTGCTTTGATGCTTCCCTCCTTTCTTCCCTCGTCTTGCTGAGTTAAATTCCGCACGATACGGACTCTACAGACCTTGATGTGACATCAGCCAGAAGGTTGCTTGAAAAAGTAACCCGGTGCAACTCACCTTACGCAACTCTGCAATTAGGAGTCCTGCATGGGATCCTTGGCCAAGAAGTACCGAAACTTGCCCTGGCCGGATGCTGCAACACGGCAGCAGAAGCCCGCAACCTTGGCAGGTCCCTGGTACCCATGGTGGTCGGGACAAGCATTTCTTCCATGGCATTGATTTTCTGAGGTGGCTCTCCTGCAGAACGCTCTCCGTGCGAAGGCGGCTCCAAATATTGCGGTTCACACCTCAGCCTGGCACCCAGAGTCCTAGAGTTAGTTGCCTTTGCAACACAGTAGGTCTAGTGAGGCAGGTATGGGAAATGTAGGGAAGTAAATACATAGGTAGACAGGTGGTCAGACAGGCAAGTATGAGTCTGGTAAGCAGAAAGCAGGTGTTAGGTAGGTGTCCAAGTGTGTAAGTCTGTGCATCATCTGCATGCTGTGAGTGAGACAGTGGACCCATTCTCTGCGAACAATATGTATATCTCTGTGGGTGCATATGTACGGTGTATGTATTGACCCAATGGTGTTGACCGTTTGAAGGTGCGCAAACGGGTGTAGGGACGCTTACTCACTCAACTGTTCAAGGACGAAGACACTGGAGTAGCGACACAATTGAGATTCAATGGAATAGCAGGTTGGCGTGGGTGCAGTCGCTGGGTACTGGGTTGAAACGGTCGCGGACAGCCGCATCCACGCCCAGAGCAATGCTGTTGTTGTGGTTCCATGCCTGGTGACAGGGAGTCGATACTTCATGTCGCTCGTAGCCCTCGCGATTGCTGGCTTTTGAGGTCATCGCTGCATGTGGAAGAGGATCAAGCTGGTTGCTGGCCGTTGGCCTCTTGCAAGATGCCCGCAGTAACTTGTCGGATGTGGGTCAGCCGTTATTCACAAACACCCATTTCCAGTCCTGCTTCCGGGGCTCGTCTGCCTTGGCCACCTCAGGTCGGCAGTTGCGCCCAGACATGCCTGCGCTAAACGCTGTGCTGACAGCCTTGGGCCGTGCAGGTCGATGGCGCGAGGCAGGGGTGGGGCAGTCGCCTCATGACCCGTTTTCAGCGGAGTCGAGAAGTGCATGCGACATGCACAAGACTTGAACTTGTCTCGCGAAGTGCCCGGCGAACCTCGAGGAAGCGAATTCGAATATCAATGCCCCAGGCCACGGCGTTCCTGGACTTGGCAAAATCGTGGTGCCGCCAGGGCCAGGGTACATCCTGCACTGTTTCAATGGGTTTTCCTGAGCCCGTGCGCGGGGACAAGGCTTCTGCCGCTTCTGACGGCTGGAGCTCCTTGCTAGGGCGTCAGTGAGGTTTATGGCCACAGTCATCGCACAGTAGCCACACACAGACTTGCATTATTTCGGTGCTGTTAGCCACGCTCATCTTTGCCTGAGCCCGGGGATGTTCCCATGGCAGCTGGAATTCCACTGTTGGAATGCTCGGCATTTGGAATCGGGCCCCGAGGCACAGAGGCTCGACTTGACGGGCCCATACATGCAAGAGGTGCCTCCAGCCGTCCCCGGTTTCGTTCGGCGCCTTGCTTGATGCATCTCGGCACTTTGCAGTGCGAATACATGCTGTTGACGATTGACAGAAGTGGGCAGTCAGGCTCTCGCACACGCCACCCGTTGGCAGCGAGCACTTTGCGTACTTGACGACGACGATACGAGCCTGAGGTTGAACCAGAGTCACATGGGGTCGGAAACCAGCCCCGAAAAGCGGGCTTGCTGTGGCAGCGCCGTTTGTGGGTGTTGTATGGCGTTGTGTAACTGGGAATCGAAGCCCTTATTCGGATTGTTCGGGTATGTGTTTGAGCAGCAGGCCTTGGCATCGATCTCTAGCAGCATTAGCGGTGAGCTGGTTTCTGCGTGGTTCCACAGATGCAGAGTGACCACTCAGGGCAGTTGGCCTCATCGCCTTTAACTCCGCGCTCACTGCATGTGCTCCGTGCCTGTATTTTCAGCAATCTTCTTAATCTTCTTCGTCACCTCACCGGGGCATCGGGGCCAATAGCTAGAAGACGGATGCAGGAGAGAGCCTCTGAGTGGGAGCAAGCGATACAGCTGCTTCGAGAGATGCGGAAGTGCCTCGACTTGGTACATGCCGTAGCTTGTAACTGTAGGGGGGACACTCACACGGACAGGTTCCACAGGCAGCGGGTGAATTGAGCACAAGTTTCTATTCTGGGTGCTAATCGATCTCCATGTAGAGTAGGGTGCGGTGCCGAGCCTTCAGAGCGAGGTTTGGTCCTCATCCGGACATCATCAGCGTGAACGCTGTGCTCGCCGCTTGTGTCTCAAAGTGGCAAGAAGCTCTGCACATCTTCGCGACCCTGCCCGCGATGGAGCTTCGACCGTCGCTTGCTTCCAAGACGCTCGCGTGGCCCACAGCCGTCATGACAGAGCTTAGGGCTCAGGATGCCCAAATCGCCCGGTTGCAGCGCTGTGCTTCTCGCCCTCTGAGGAGCATTGTGACACTGAACTCCTTGATGAATGCTTGTGCCAGTGGCTTGCAATGGCAGTTCGCCTTCGAGCTTTGGCGAGGCTTGTAGATTCCGGTCTCATGATAGCTTCATGTTAGCTTCCTGGTGCACGCTATGGCTTGCAGATGCATCGCATGCCAATGGTAGGTGACTTTCGCGAAAAAGCGCACCGGACATGATGGTTCGCGCTTCAATCTCCTGATAGGATTGCTGCCACCCCTGCAGCCGACCGAAGCCACTTTCGGTGCACTTCTCGCCTCGTGTGCTCTCGGACCGCGGGCTCTCGGGATGGTAGGACTTCGGCCTCACGGCTGATGCTTCTGCAGAGTTGACGGGAGCGGGATGCTTCCCCCCTAGGTCGGTGATGCAGAGCTGTGTGGTCGAAATAAGAACCCCAGAAACGAGGGCATATTTTATGCTAGAAACCAGCCACTCTTTCCCCACGCCGCATTCCTCAATTCGAACCCACCCACAGCAGTGTGATGCTGACAGAAACTTGAGGATTTTCAAGAGGGATGCCAACGGAACTTGTCAGACTTTCCGGAGATGCATTTTGAAACTCCCGCGGGCTACATGTGAGAAGCTACGGTACAGAAGCTTTCAAGAGTCTCCGCTGGTGCCCCTGTGGCCAGGACCAGGCTGGCAAGTTTCTGTGGCATTGCTGCAGCAAAGATGCTCGGCTTTTCTTCGGATCCTTTCCGTCTTTTGGTTTCCTCTCAGGGTTACCATTCTGGGATTCTGGGAAAGTAGTCTCAGATCTGGATGGATTTAAGAAGGCTTTCTACGGCAAGCCCGAGCCAATGTGGCCAACTGGACCAGCACACTCACGACACTGCATCGTGAAGGCCAGGACCACTAATCCGTGACAGAAAGTGGCATGAGCAACAAATTATGTAAAGCAGAAAGAAAGCTTCGGCAATTTGCGTCGGTCAGATATGCATCATTTCGCATTCATCCTGTAAGATCGATTCTTAGATACAGCCCGATTAAATTGTGTCCTGTTCCAAATTTTTCTGTTCGGGTGACAAACCTGTACTCAGCTTCTGAATCGCAACTTCAGTATTGTCCAGACATGCACAGCGGTCCCAAACAGCTTTTGATGCAGGCCAATGGGAGAGGGCATCATCCCTCTTCTGGGAGATGTATCGCGCAGCCGCCGGGGTCCTACTGTACATAACCAGATGGCACGCAGCAAGCTGTGTTCTGGATCTGTCAAGCTGCCCTGCCCGTTTTCCATGTGATGATGGTGAGGGGTACTGATCGGCAGTGAGGCTGTTCCCAACACGCTAACCATCGATGCCGTGACTTGCTCAGAAGAGTGTTTAGCATTGGGACAGCATCAAGACGAGGCGAACAAGTATCCAGTATCTGCGTAATCCGTTCTGCTGCCTGACCACAAGCTTGGTCACCATAGCCTCAGCCACAGCGATGCTCACATGAACTCACCTTGTCTCCTGCAGCCGGCCATAGGACGCACCTAGTCGTCCGTTGTCGTTTCGGCTATCCGGAGCTTGAATGGGCAATACATGGCTTGACTCGACAGTGTGCCATCTCCTGGAGAAGAGCGCATTCGGATACATGCGCACACATATTGTCATGTGATCTACATGGCAGTACCCCTTGGAACTAATGAGGTCATGGTGGCGTGGCAGCGCAGCGGCCAGTGGCGGAAGGAACAGCATTTCGGGGCTGGGTCTTGCTGCCAGGCTGCCGAGATTCCTTGTGTGGAGGCCCTCGGGGCGATGGCAGCCCTCCAGCAGGAGGCACTGCCCATCGGGTGCGGGGCCATGGCGGCGTTGCGCAGCGCCTGCGAAGAGAGGCATCAAGCGGCGCCGGCAGAGGCCATCGAAACAGTACAGAATGCAAAGTTACTGGTAGGGCTTCGGGCTTGAAGTCTCGCATGTCGACGCTGAGTTTTGAAAGCCTTTCGAGAAGCACAGCCGTAAACTCACGAGTGTTCTGTGTTACGTCATGCTTTGCCAGGTCATTTCGGTAGTGCTGGCATCCACGGCAGCCCGTCTGCTCAGCAAGCAGCCGAGTCGTTGCACAGCAGCTGACTTGCCCACAGCCATCGCAGCCATCCCGAAGCGCTTGTCCAGCGCAGGTCAGCGCCCAATTCTGGAACATGGAGAGCATCTTCAGCGCCCGCTCTGTTCCATTCGCCACTCAGCCAAAGCTTGAAATTTGTGTGGCGTGTATTGCCATCTTCCTGAGGAACTTATCTTCAAGATCATTCGTTGCACCTCGTCTTGTGGTTGTCTTGGCTTCAGCTGCAACGACCCACTTCATGATGATGAGTCTCCGTGGGATTCGCTTTCGAGGCCCTGGCTTCATTGCCGCCGCATTGTAACACCGCTGGCAAGAGGCGTTGCTGCATCATCTGACGTGTCTTGACGTTGATAATTTGTGGCAGGCCGGCAGGGATCGCGAATCAAGCAGCAGCTAGAACTTAGATGCAGCCTGCACTCAGGTGGACAAATTGGAGGCTCCATACGCGAGGCTGCTGCTGTGCGAAACTGGGCAAGCTGGTAACCCTAAAGCAATCGCAGCTCTGGCGAAATGAGGTCCCATATTAGCCGTTTTCCACGACAGACGAGTATAACAATTTTAAACATATATACATACATATACATATACATATATATATATATAGGTCTATGTACAATTGTAATATACATATATATTCTTTTTCTATATCAAAAATGAAGTACAGTGCAGCGGGACATGCCTGGAAATACTAGCTGAACGGTGCCCTCCCAATTGCGTTCTTATTTCTTATAATTTATCTTCCGCGTTCCATTGCTATATAAAAATATAGTTGTTGATATTCTGAATTATACCTATATTCGATTTGAGATTTGTAAGATTTATTATATTTCATTGAATATCAAAATAGAAATCAAGGAAGAGAATTTGGAATATCCGTTTAAATTGATTTTGTAATTTATAATATATTCGTAGCATCTTTCGTATCGACGGCGTCGGAATGATTTATTTAGAAATGAGAAAAAAAGGGGTTCACAGGGAGATTAAAATATCATATAATAATACGATTTAATACGCGACTGGAGATATCTTTCGTATATTTCTATTTCTATATATATATCTTTATTATCGTCGATATAATATTATAAAGATTTATATTTATAGATTCTTAATTTTCTGAATAATTAATGAATTCTTGATATATTCTATATTAGAGATGATAAATATGGCAGAGAATAAATATTGAATAAAATATATTATAAGATATATTATAGAAAACTAATTATATTATATATCGATCTTCGTATATTTACGTTATTATCGGAATTATTAATAAGAATAATATAAGCAAGAATCTACGTATATATGAAATATCGATTCTACCGATATAAAGAGGACTTCGGGCGACGGTATATCGATCTTCGTACGTATATATTAACTTCGATTTTAAAAATAGTAATAATAATATTAAGAAGAATAATCTATATCAATAATAGAAATATGAAAAATTTAATATTTCGCAAATATGACGGATGGCTACGAAATCAAAAAATATACGCCGACGAATTCGATTTTTTTCATGGATATTCGGATCTCTATTAATTTCGACGATATCTCTAATCTAAAATGACTGCTAAAATATATCAAATCAATTAGGTCGTGATAATATCTCCGAAATCCTCGCATTTCAAGTGCTCCGATAGCCAGACATACGGAGCATCGTAATCATTCATATATAAATTCGCCATTTTTATTAAATTCATTGGTGCCCGCCAATTTCTGCGTCTATCACAAAAAAAGCAAGTCGCGAACGGATTTGAATATATCCCTATTGCTCCCGATAATTAGAAATACGGCAAAGTGAAGATTTTTCAAAGAAGATTGTTAAATAAAGAAGTATGCGCCTATAAATTCGACGATTTTCGTAGATTCCTTTCAATTTGATATTGTCAATATAAAAGATAAGGATGAAAATTTCTATTATCCCTATTTCAATTCTTCTCATGGTCAGTAGCTCGGAAAATCAGGATTTTTCTTTTTTTGACCAGAAATACGGAGAATCCAAGATTTTCAAGGATGACTATCAGAAAAGAATTAGAAAAGATCATAATCGCCGCCGAATTCCACCACTTTCGTAGATTTACGGATTTCCGCCAATTTCAACGTGTCCAATATAAATTTAACGTTTGACTTTCTGACTTAATTTTGGTGATAACATCTTAAATATATTAAGTCACGAGTATATCTCGAATTTTTTTTAAATTCTATCCTAGTATTAGTAGTGGCGATAGTATTATTGCTGACTTTAATTTTTTTAAGCAAAACGAGAAAGAGAGATAGAAAGAATAATAGAAAGAGAAAGAAGAAGAAAGAAGAAGAAAGAAGAAAAGACCAGCAGGAGAGAACAGATACGTTAGCGATTAAAAAGCGTGAGATAATACAAGATCTTATATAATGGAAAGAATTCGAAATAAAAAAAGAAGCCCCATCAAAATAAGATAATTTCTTTTGAAAGCGAATATTACGAGGGACCGACATATATAGCTACTACTACGAAATCCATACCGACGTATTCAATCCTGAAAGTGCCAAATAAAGAAAATAAGATCGGGGAGATATAAAAGAAAAAAATCCATCTTGGACCGACCCATAATAATCTATAATGAAACTCTTTTCTTGTTGCCATAAAAATATATTAATATGATACTATTTTTCGATAATTAACTTTCAAGTCCCCGCTAAACCGCTACGATAATAATATAAATCAAATAAATTCGTATCTCTACCTTCATCCTAGCATATTATAATAAAAGATATAGAATGAATCATCACTATAATATCGTATATCATAAATACGCAATAATCGGACCTTTATTTATCGAGAATATGATATATAATAAAGATTCCATTTTGCAATCATATACCAAATAAAATATCATTTTGTAAATATGAAATTATTCTATATTAAGCGATTAATAAATACCGATCTATTTTTCCAAAAAATATAAAATAATGAAATTTAAATATAGAATAAATAAAAAAGCTCCAGGTAGAATTATAATAAGAAGATATCTTAAAATCTACACCAACCAGAATTCAATATAAATTATTCAATTTAAAGAAATTTCAAGAGAAAATATGATAATAAGACCTAACATATTCTTAATTAATTCGAGTTAATCGAAAATTATTCAGAGTCCGAATAAATTTAAGAAATTAAGATTTAGAAATCAAAATATAGAATTTATAAAGAAAAATACAATCTAGCAGAATATCCCAAATCATTATCAATATTTTTTTAAATCCTTATTGAGACCTACCATACTTATATAACCCTCCAAGAAAATATAACCCTAAACCAAAAATCCGAAAACCGTGAAACCACAGACCCAAGATCTCAAATCGAAGCCATAAAAACCACAACAAAAAAAACTACCAAAGGCGACAGCCTTACAAAAAGGTACCCAAGGCTATTAAGAACAACGTACTGAATCGAGAACGCAACCTGATAATCCTTTAAAATTTATATGCTAATGCCAAGACTGATATACAAAATATACATGCTAACTATCAAGTAATTTCCCTTTGATGTGATACGCTACACATAACCAAAAACAATATGCTATTAAATTACTTCTGACACTTACTGTAGTTAATATTTCTAGACTAATCAAATAAGAATACCATCGCCAAAACTTCAATGCTAAGAGTCACTATGAAATAGTACTAAGAAGAATCATAATGATACTAATAATACCAATACATAATGCTAATACATATTGTAGACTCATACTATAATACTAACTATTCGTTAGATCAAATATTAATAATGCTAATAATAATGCTGATAACATAATACATAGTAATACTGATAATAATACTAATTACAGTGATATATATATATAAATAAATAATACTATTCAGGGGGGGGGTTAGGTCTAACCCTGGGGGTTAGGTCTGACTAGGTTTGGGGTGCGGCCCTTGCCCAGTCAAACTGTGCCCCCCCTTGGGGTGGCCCTGAATTAAGTTTACAGGCTACAGCGGCTACAGGCACAGGGTTTGGAGCGTGAGGTATATAGATAATCGATGCAGGGTTTAGAGTTCGGGACTCCGGCGACTCTGGAAGGTGACGGGGTTCCATGTTGGGCTGCCTGGCTAGACTCGCACGGTGTTGCGGCACTGTTTGCTTTCCTAGAGTCCTACAGAGGTGCTGGCTCACGGCTCGCCGGCACTTCTGAGCCGCTTCTGGTGCAAACTGGACTGGATGGGACATTCAGCAGCATCCAGCCAACGCTTAAGTGTCGAAGCATCCGCGGCGACTCGTATCATCTGCCAACAAGGGCGTTGCATAGCATACTCTCATTGCACTGAACATTTTTGCTGGCTGCGTCAGTGCAGATGCGCCAAAATCCGCCAACAAAAAACCGTCCACGGAAGGAATGCGCAGTCCAGTGAATTGCTCCTGTACAGGATGCAGTGTGTACTTGCGCCTTGCCCTGCATGACCACGGAGGTCTTCCTCCAACAAGTCATGATTTCAGCAGCATGCAACGATGGGCAAGGATTGATGGCCGGATATGGCTGGCCGTACCAGTAAGGTAGCAAGCCGACGACCATTCTCGAAGAGTGCTGCACCTGGCCCAGATAAGAGCGAAGGTGTCACACCTCCCAAAACTCGTGCAAAAAAATGGCACCCAGCCAGGCGTCGCAGCTCGATGCTTGTGAAGCCTCAGGCCACGCCGACGTAGCGAATTGCAATCCGATGCGTCTCCGTCCGGCAGCGTCGGCTGCTTCGCAGAAGCTCCTCCTCGTCACTGTCCTCTTCCCTCTCAATGAAGGTCTTGCGAACCAGTACCTTCTGCTGGGCCTGCATTGCTGCATGTTGCTTGGTTCGCTCCTTGGATGGCCCATCACGATGCAGAATCACGATGCAAATGGCTGTTCACAAGATGATGAGCCCGATGGTTTGCTCAAATTCTTTGTACACTGAAGTAACATCAAGACTTACGCAAGCCATCCCCTAGCTCACAAGCAACCAAGGCTCTGCAAGGGATGCGAAGCAGATTTCTTGGTTGAAGCGTGGCTCGTTTGTCTCCGTCAATCCCGGTGCTTGTGCCCCGCCATTGGCGCGACGGTAGGCCGTCTTCTGCAAGAGGTAGGCATCTTTCAAGAAGCCCTGGACACGGGACCAGTCTTCCCGAGCAACTACGCATTGGAAGTACCGCAGCTCTTGTCCGTCCAAGGATTGGTAGAAATTCAAAGGTTCACCAAGAAACTTCGTGAAGACCTTCAAATACTCGGACAATAAGAATCGATCACTTCCAAATTTTGCAGGATCGTAGCGGGCCCAAGTTGTCAACCCCATGCTTCTGCCCGCATTAATTGTAGTGACACCTGCACTGCCGAATTCGTCACAGGGCACTGGGAGCATGGGGAATCCCCGCTTGAAGCTCTGGATGCTCAGGACAATGTAGCACTGCTGATCAAACGTCCGCATCTGGATCATGCCTGGTCGATTGAGATAGTATCGTGCAGTTCTCCTGACTGCTTCCAGTGCCTTGTCCCAATGCGCAGTCGCCCACTTGGACAGGTTAATGCGGCTGGGAATATGGAAGATCTGATACACATTGACAACCCCCAGTACCGCCTGTGGACGGCAGAAGTTTACGGCTTCGAAGGGCTCCTCCGAAAGGCTTGAGAAGGTCCTGAGCGCGAGAACAGAGACCCCGTCTTCCTCCTACATTGGAGCTCGAAAACAACCCCGACAGATACTGACAAAACTTTTCTTCCATAAAGCGAAGGTCTGCGAAGAGTCGCCAACTTGTGGATAGTTGCGCCGCATGCGCATGCGCATGTCCACATCCACGGCTGCATCCAGATCGTCCTGGCTCCGTTTGCTCTCGTAGAAGAAGTTGGCCTGCAGGAACTCCGTGCCGGTGTCGCCGAGGAGAACTGCCCAGGTGCGCAATGCCTTCCAGCATGCACGTCGGTTCACGATCGCGTCTCCTGGTGCCTTTGCTCGTGGAGGGCATGCTTGTTAATTAGCAGAACGTGTCTTTGTCTTTGGATCCAGAAATGCACAGCATGTCGTTACAAAGTTCGACAAGCCGAGACACAAATTGCTCTAGCACGGCGAATTGCTCCGCGTTCGATTCCGCGAGGGTCCTCACTCCCCATGCGCGCGTCTCCGGTCGGACCATGATGCGCGCGGAATCCTTGGGAACATGCTCCACCTGCAAGTCCAGCACTGCAAGCTTCACCAAATTCCCACCCCATGGGCAAGTGCAATGGCAGAGGCCCACTGACGGAGCTTCAGCGATGCTGTGCCAGCCGGCCGAGGAAAGCAAGTGCGGAACTAGGTGCAACCATTCCTCGATGTTTTCCGGACGCGCTGCCATGACTCTCTTGGGTGCCTACGGTCCGGGGAAGCCGACTATACAATCAAAGAATTAGGACTGCTCGGACCGTCACCGTCTCAGCCGTGCAGCACAATACAAACAGGCAAACATGACCATCAGCATCACGGGAGTGGAAGGACGCTTGTTGATAACGAATTAACCTGTTGTAAATCTAAACCCATGGAATATCCTGGACAATCTCCCCAAGAGTCCTCTGGGAATTGCGAGATGAGTAAGTCCCGAGCCCCTGGAGGGCTCTGCAGGCCCACCTACGCCAAACTTCTGCCGCCACGGCTCGCAAGGGGCTGCAAGCACATAAAGACGTCTCCGTGGCAACCATCCGATTCGCCGACATGCTTGCAGCTACTGGGCCTAATGTTTTTTGATGAAGCCACGAGGGAAGCAAGTCTCGTGGTCACTATCACGACTGTGATGAACAGAGCGAATGTTGGGCGGGCTTCGAGCTTTGGAGCCTGGCCAAGATGACAAGAGCCGGCCCGGTGAAATCTGAAGGGAGTCTCCCATTTCTGCGCGCTCGTGCGCGGTCGACACTTGTTCGGATCGCGCGTGTCCGTACACACTGGTTTGTTGCTCCGGCTTGCAAGAAAATCTCTTCCAAGCTCGAGGTCTGTTCGAATCGCAAGCGGGGCATTCGAAGAAACGGATCAAACTTGTCAGCGTCACAACCCACAAACAAACTCTCACCGAGATCGCAAGACATGCACATTGTCACAGCCCCCGGCCCAAGATGCACCATTTCCCGGCCCAAACTGCAACACGAAAAGGGTCATGGCGTCACCAGCCCGAATGTGTCGTCGTTCAACCCCTACTTTGGCTGCAGTGACTGCGATTTGCGTCGGAGGGTTTGGTGATGTTTGGTGTAAACTTCATCTGAAGGCTTGGATAAAGTCCTGAATGTCAATGACAAGGTACATACGCCACAAAAAGAGCCTCAGCAACACATCCCTTCACCTAGTCAGTCTGTGCAAATGACCTTTTCAGCTTCGTGCAGAAATGCAACAGTCCAACAACAGAACAGCGCTCGAGTGCTTCTGGCACCACAGCCGAAGCACGCGTGGTTTGGGAGAGCGGATGGTGGGCAACGTCGAGAAAAAACTAGCCGGCAAGGCACACAATACCAGGTCCAGATTAGCTCCGGCACAGACGCCAAGCAACACAGCAAGACAATGCAAAACACAAATCAGCACCACACAGTACCATATAGCTGGATTTCGAACGGCACGAGGGCGGGGCATGTGGCTTGGCGCTGGGGTTTTGGGTTTCACAGGATTTATGGGGGTTTGGGGTTGCATAGGGTTTAGGGTTTCGAGGCTTCTTCCGGGAGGCCCGAGTGGAATTCCAGCAGGGCCCCCGTGACCCGGAGCGAGTGGGACCCAAAGTGCCGGGATCCCCTCTCCCCGCGACGCGGCGTACAACTCCACCATTCCGGTGCTTTGGGCCGTCGTCAGATCAAGGCCCGCGTCACCCACGAACAGCCGAGCCCCTGCGTCGCCAGTGGTCCGGTCCGGTAAAACGAGCACTCCAAGACATTCCACTGGACTGTCCAACACTTGCACACGCACAATGGCAGTTGCAGGCGGAGCATCAGGGCTCCCGGTCGTGAACTCTGGAAGCAGCCAGCACCCGACAAACGCCACTGCAGCAATTACACAGTGACCCGTGTCCATGACAGAACTACCTTGACACAAAGGAATCTCGAGAGGAAGTGCGACGGCCGATATGCGGCTGAAGCTCGACTCAAGTCAATCATCTACACCAGTGTTCAGGATGCCGAGGATCAGCATGCAGATGCATGCAGGCACCTGTTTGCCGCACGGCACCCAGCCCAGGCTCTTGCGCGATGTTTTCGAAAAAGCAGTGGCGATGCCTCGAACTGAGCCCGACGTGTTGACAAGGGGCTCTTTGCTCTTGGCATGGGACCGAGGGCGAGCCAAGACCGGCAGTCATGTTCAGGGCGGTTGTAACAGAAACCAGCCACCAATGTAACAGAAACCATATGAAACCATGCTACAGGAACCAGGCCAGCTGTCACAAGAAGCTGGCACCACCTGTCACCGAAACCAATCAACCACTCAACGTGAACTGGAGCAGGTTGTAACAGCAACCGCGCTCCAGGCGTCTCACGCACAAGCCGGCAGATCATGCTGTTTCACGAGCTGCAACAATGGCCACAGAGGCTTGCTAAGGGCTAATGGTGGTAGGGGTGGAAGGGTTTGGCCAGCTCTGCAAAAGCCACGTCAATGGTCGTGTAGACAGTCGGCAGAGCTGCAGCAGCACCTGGTAAGAGCTGTAAGGCCCCCAGCCCACACAAACTGCAAGATTCAAGATTCTGAAGCAAGCAAGTGCCATGCCATGCCTGGCGAGTACCGTCCAGGACGCGGGACCAGAAGCTGTCTATTGGGCGGTGGTCTGCAGACCAGGAGCTTTGAGACCAAGGCTCATACATCCTGACAAGACTCATCATCCGATGCAGCGACCGACCAACGGATTTAGGTTGCACCCCTGCACGTACTGACTTACTCGGAATGGCACTGAGTCCGGCACGTATGTCTTGAGACACCCCCCAGACAAAGCCAAAAAACATCATCTCCACAGCGCAATCCTGACCAAACAGATGAGTGTACACAGGCAACTCTGCGAAATGTCGGCCTTCAGACTTGCTGCCAGTGAGGTTCACAACCTCATGAGCTGCGACAGATGCACACAGGACACAGCATAAATGAAGGCATTGCCAGCACAACCCTCAAGCTGGAGTAAGGACGGTCACACCAAAAACGCACGGCAAGAAGTGCGCTTGGCAAGAACCGTGCTTGGAAAGCAGCGCGCTGAAGGGTTCTCCATGTACACACCTACATCATGCCTCTCAGAATGCACTAGCTGGGAACGCACGATTTCAGTACGTACGAAAGTTACGTCCGTACGTCCGTGCCGATGCCACTAAGATCGTAGAACTGCGAAGCACCCCTGGAATCTCCGGTCATGTACTTCCTTGACCTTCCTTGCGTGTCTTGCTTCAACTTCAGAAGAGGCCGCGAAAGCCATGGCAAAAATTCGGTCGGGTGGGTATTGCGTGCCTGCTCAGCAGCATGGACCCAAGCACGCATGTATGGCATGAAACTGCAACCTGCAAGATCATAGAGTTCTTCTGCTTTAATCACACTCGCCCACATACAGATACACCTTCCTGGTACTAGTACCATGGCACCTTGACCAACCTCATTGACTTCCGGAATATCCCTGCATAAGCAATAACTCGGTCTTCTATGAGCAGCTTCGAACAGTTCTGATGGCAGCTTAGCGAATTACTGAAGCAGCAGACTTCAAACCTGCGTAGACGCACTCGGCGCCGTAAAGACAAAATGGATCCTTAGGGTGCCGGGGGGGGGATCCCCTGAACCAATCATTCGCATGGTGGCGCGAGGGGGCCCCCCCGTAATTACACCCCCCCTTTGACCTGGTTCTATACTACCTAAGTGAATGGTAAACGGCCAGGCAAGCTCCACGGAGCCAGCTTTCGTGACCTGTGCTCCGACCTTCCACTGTTTCTCGACGGTCACTTTGTCTCTTCCAGTCTCATGCTAGAGCGCCGGGAGGTGAGAGCGGAAAAAGGTGCCAAGAAAACAAGCGCTGCGCTAACGAGTTAGCCCAAAATCCTACTTAGGGTGCAGTGGCTACTTTTGGATGGTCGAGTCGCATAGAATGCGCCCGGCCGAGCACACCGCCCCGAAAACCGGTGCCGGTGCCGGGGTGCGCACTTCTGCGTCCGCCCCGGACAACCGCCCGGTCGGGCGGGTGACGGCCGTATATAAGTCAAGAAAATCTCAAGGGTGGAGTGGGCGGGAACTCGAAACAGGCGATCGAACCGGCAAGCTGCGGCTCGATCGCTAGCACTTGTTCCTACTCGCACGCGTGCGCTACACAACAAGCGCTGCGCTAACGAGTTAGCCCAAAATCCTACTTAGGGTGCAGTGGCTCCTTTTGGATGGTCGAGTCGCATAGAATGCGCCCGGCCGAGCACACCGCCCCGAAAACCGGTGCCTGTGCCGGGGTGCGCACTTCTGCGTCCGCCCGGCGCACCCACCCCCACAAGGTGCCGGCACTAACTACCAAGAAGCAAGATCTAGCAGCCGCTCAGGAGCCTCGTGGCAGGCGTAGTCGATGTCGGTCGCCGCCCGCCCGAGGATCACCATGACGTCGTCGACCGGTGCCCGAACACGGCACCAACCTTCGCGGGCCGCTCTGGAGTCGTCGCCCCGAGAGACGGCGTCGGAGACATTGGCGGCGGAGGGGACCCTGTAGAACTCGGGGCACCAAGCCCTATCAGCCGCTAGTCCCCAGAAAGAAGCGAGGATGCCGTTCACAGCGGGGTCCCGTCCATATCCCTTCATGAGGGCAAACTGCCCGGCGACATTGTCAATGAAGGCGATCCAGTGTTGGGGCAGCCGCCTCGCGAAGGTGATGATCGGAAGCACCTGCGCCAAGATCTCCAGCACGTAGATGAATGCCCGGCGGGACGCGAAGGGCTTGAGGTACTCAGGCTTGACAACGCCGAAGTCGTAGAACACCTGGCCCTCGAAGAGGAGCACAAAGCCCCAGCCGTTCTCCCACCTGGCGGACCGAGGGACCGGGTCTCCCGGCTGAAGGTGGCCCACCTTCTTGCGCACGTCGCCCTCCACAAAGAAGGCGTCCGCATAGAGGACAGGGACTGGTCCTGTAACAGCCCCCGGCCAGGGGATAAGCCGCGGCTGGGCCGTGGACACCAGGCGGCGAAGGGCCAGGAGGGGGGAACGGAGACCCACCGAAAGAGAGTCGTCAGAGTGGGCTGCCGTGTCGGCCCTGGCGTAGAGCGGCTTAATGGCCGCCCGTCCTGTGCAGCCGAAGACCGACTGGCTGAAGAACGTGAGCCGCCCGGCCAGCTTGGACGCCACGTCTGGCTTCATGGCGTTGTTCTCCAGGGCGTTGTCGATCTGCTGTAGGAT